TGTGACAGGAGTGTGACAGGAGTGTGACAGGGGATGACATGGGAGTGACACGGGGTGTGACAGGGGGTGACACGGATGTGACAGGGGTGAGGTTTGGGGTGTGACACGGGTGATACATGGGTGTGAGACGGGGATGACATGGGTGTGACACGGGTGAGGAATGGGTGAGGCACAGGTGTGACACGGGTGTGACATGGGTGTGACATGGGTGTGACATGGGTGTGACATGGGTGTGACACGGCTGTGACAGGGGGGTGACACGGGTGTGACATGGCTGTGACACGGGTGTGGCATGTGAGTGATACAGGTGCGACACGGGTGTGACAGGGGTGAGACATGGGTGTGACACGGGTGTGACAGGGGTGTGACACGGGTGAGGAATGGGGTGGGACACGGGTGTGACAATAGTGTGACACGGGGTGAGGAATGGGTGAGACATAGCTGTGACAGGGGTGTGACGGGGGGGTTACATGGGTGTGACACGGGTGTGACAGGGTGTGACATAGGTGTGACTGGGGTGTGACAGGGGTGTGACACGGGTGTGACACGGGTGTGACAGGGGTGTGACACGGGTGCGACAGGGGTGTGACACGGGTGTGGCACGGGTGTGACGGGGTGTGACATGGGTGTGACACGGGTGTGACAGGGGGTGGCGCGGGTGTGACACGGGTGTGACATGGGTGTGACACGGGTGCGATAGGAGTGTGACACGGGTGAGGTATGGGGTGTGACACGGGTGTGACATGGGTGTGACAGGGTGTGATACGGGTGTGACAGGGGGGTGTGACACGGGTGTGAGACGGGGATGACATGGGTGTGACACGGGCGAGGAATGGGTGTGACACGGGTGTGACAGGGGTGAGGCATGGGTGTGACACGGGTGTGACACAACTGTGACATGGGTATGGCTTGTGAGTGACACTGGTGTGACACGGGTGAGGAATGGATGAGACACGGCTGTGCCACGGCTGTGACACGAGTATGGCATGTGGATGACACAGGTGTGACACACGTGTGGCATGGCCGTGACGTGGGTGTGACACGGCTGTTACACGGCTGTGACACGGCTGTTACAAGGTTGTGACATGGCTGTGACACGGGTGAGACACGGGTRTGGCRTGTGAGAGACACGGCTGYGACACAGGCGACACAGGTGACACATTGGTGACACACGGCTGGCACGCGGCTCCCCCGGCTGCTGGAGCTGTCCCCAACCCCGTCCCCTTGTCCCGCTGTCCCCAGGGCAGCCTGGGCTGCCAGGCGGTGTCGGAGATGATCTCCTTCTACATGGACGAGGTGCTGCCCAGCGCCGCCAGGAGCAGCGCG